CTTAGTTTTTCCCAGGAGGTCTCCCATCCAGGTACTGACCAGGCTCACACCTGCTTAGGTTCAGTGGGTTGCCAGTTGTGAGTTGCAGGGTGATATGGCTCAGAGTTATTCTCTGATTTTATTTCGACGACAAATTAGAAGTGTAACACACAACTAGTCTAATTTATGGTCTGTAACAGTACCCAGTTCCATTGATTCTGATGGAAAAGATTCCCGCAAGTAAAATGGACAAGGTTTGCTGTCCCTAACTTCCATAATTTATTTGTTCTTTTGGGGGAAAATTCCCTTATATCCGTCGTTTATTGTGTGTTGTGTGACTTGGTGGTATTGATAAATGACTGATTTTATTCAGACAATTATTACATGGCACTGATGCGGCATTGACTCCTAAACATCACACTTTCATAAGCAATAGGCCATTGGTACAGTCTTTGTGTCCTTATTTAAAGAAACTTCATGGGGATTGTCTCGAAATAAGGATAAACACACTTTTACTTTTCTAATCCTTTACCATGGCTGGAAGTACATTTAATAAATTAAACACAGAGATGTCACCTTGCTGTGATTGTTCCGCTTAGTCTTACATACAGTAAGACAATGAATATTGGGTGTGAATGAAAATAAAATTAATCGATTAATTTAGGAACTGTCTACGAACTGGAGACTGGAGCCACAGTCGGCGTCACTTAATTTTGTATTTTGCTGAGTTTAAAGGAATATATAACACAACGCCTTTGTCGTATCAATGCTAAAGGCGATGCTGATGACAAATACCTTGAAAACGCGTGCTATTGTCTCAAATGTTTAATCTGATGTGGAACCGATATGGACATCATGTAATGTGGTCTCTGTTCACAAAACAACGCGTTGAACCGAGTGGTGGAGCTGTAGCTCACACTAGCTCCCTCGTGTTACTGCTCGACGCGTATAATATGTCAATAAACCGAGTTCTGGTTTCTGTTTGAGCCTTTTTTTGTTTCGCCTCCTGCCGAGTTGAGGACTTCGTCTGGCTAAAATTCCGGATCCAAAGCAGGCACTGTAGTAAGACGGTTTTCATGGGGGTAACCTACTGCTGGGCGCATGGCCGCTTCTGAATCTGACCCAAATCTCAGTCCTGGCGAGTTGGGGGAGAAAAAAAAATAATCAAAGATTTCGGTCTTACTTAGACGACGGGAGTCGTGCGTTTGTCCGTGCGACAAATATTTCAAAGCAAGGAGGTACCGTGATTTTGCCCTGCATGGACTACTTGACCCACGGCGAGAGGTCCTGCGACCATTTGCTCCCGGGCGGTCCTGTATCGGAAATCGCTGGAAGCCAGGGCTGATCTCGGACCAGAGCTTTGCCAGACAGAGGTAAGGTAAAGATGCCGGCGGGTTTTCGGACATTTGTGAAATTGGTTGTGTGTTTTGACAGTCGCCGCGTTTATTTATACGTTATGACACTGGAATATTCCATTCGGGCATAAAAACGTGGATTTTGACCGTGCTCTTTAGTATTGCTAGTTTCTCGTTAGAGCCAGAATTCAGATAGATTCTGCAAGGTGCATTGTTATCTCCGCACTAGTTGTCTTTGGATCACAGGATTGCGATGTTTTTATAGATTTAGCGCTGGATAGGATACGGCTATTACCCTTCCAGATCATATTTAATGGTGATTCTCCCACGTATTTTGTTTTCGACAAAACACATGAGCGACTCACAGAAGTGCTTTAATTATAGCGAAACGAAGTCTCCCCTGAGCACCGCGATCAGCCGAAAATGAGGACTGGCTAAAAAACTGACCTACATTGGAACAAGCTTCGAGTCCCCAACAAATAAACTAGCATTCTGCAGCTAATTAAACGATCCGTACGTGTTCATTAAACTGTTAATGCGTGGAGCACGGCAGGTTTAATTAGTTTCTGGTCATCTTTTAAAAGAATTCGGCATTTCCTGCAGGTATTCCCAAACAGAAATGATGTGAAATTGCAAACATAGTTGAACCCACTTGTGATTATCAGAGTTACAGGTTAGAAATTTCCCTCTCTGCGACAGTCATTCTCTTTACTGATTTATGTTACTGGGGTGCCCAGCTGTCACCGATTTCCATAAATTCACCGGTAACGTCTCACTCAGCTGGACCTGAGAGGGCACTCCAGCTCACCGATAAATGGCTTAGAGCACACGGTCACAAAGCTGAAGTTCACAGTTATAACATGTTTCCAGAGGGTTGTGAGAGCCCGAAACGAGCTACCCAGCATTGGTGTCAAAGCTGATCACAGTGGCGTCTTTCAAAAGATCTGATGAGAGCCTTGGGTCAGCGGACAACATGCCTCCGAAAGAGCAAGGGTCCGATATCCTTGTGCTGTATTCTAGCTGAAGGAAGAAGTTGCAGTATATTAACATTTCAGATTTCATGTGAAGTTTTTTTTGGGGCTCAAACTGGATGACGATTGCTTTTTTTTTGTTTCCCCTTTTATTTTTAAACACGGTGCGTATTTCTGGGGCTTTTTGCCTGAGAAATTCTATTTCGGTTTCGCCAGATCACGAGTCTTCATAGTCGGCAGCCTTCATACTGTACTCCAGACGTCGTCTTAATTTTACTGCCCTGGCCTTCCGCGAAGCTGCACAGTTTTCATTTGGATCTCTTTGGTGCGGGTTTCTGCTGTAAATCTTGCTGCACTTCCTAATTATGTACCTGCAGTTTCTATTGTTGGCTTATACAGTATGTGAAAGCTGCGCTGGTGTGACAAGTTCCCAGACAAATGTAAATATGGGTGTGCTGACTACAGTCAGAGCAGGATGTGTCTCAGTTCATAAACCTGTTTGTTGATTATGTTTTACGTGTCAGTAGTTTATTCGCCACAGTTCTCATCATTTCCAATGATGATGTACACCTTTGGCCATCATAGGAAATGTACTGCAAAAGGTCTTTATAGGACCTCTGTTCTCTGGAAATTGCGATGCTAACTGTTCTTAAGCAGCCCGTGGACAGGTGTGTACTCTGGCAGGTTTAGGAGATCAATTTGAAATCGGTTCCACTGCCCTCTGAGGGGTCCCACTGGTAAAGGCGCTTGCCTGAGCGCAGGCTGAACTCTGTGATCCCGGGTTCGAGTCTGAGACGTGAGCCAGCTGTGGCTGCTGGGCAGTTAGGGTGGGATGAGTTGGCTGGGATTCTCTCGGACCTCACAGATACAGTAACCCGTGCAGCCTCCCCAGTGCCTGCAAGCATGTCAGTGAGGGAGGGCTGTTCTTGTCCTCCATCGCTGCCGAACCTCCAGTATGGGGCTGTGTAGTCAGTGGTGTGTGAAATTACAAGTGTCTTGTACTGTAGGTGGGCTCTTGTAGTGTCTGGAAGAGTCTGCCTCCATGTCCTCTTTCTCCCTGGGTCGTGGTGGAGAGCTGAGACATGAAAATCAAAGCGTGTTGCATGATTGTAAGCAAAACAATGTGAAAAGTTAATCATGACAAAATGTCAGCGTTTTACATGACCAAATTTTACAATGCATTTTCTTGAACTCAGGGTTTAAATGTAAACTGCTAAACTCCTGTTTTTCTTCCCGTAATGGAATTGACTTCTCCTTTCTAAATTAATAAACTGTTTCTACTCAAACAATGGCATAATCCAAAGTTTAATATTTTTATTTTACTTTCAAGATGGTTATAGAAACCGGTCACAGACAAAGCAGTGTGTTGGCTGTATTAATTCCAGTGTTTTAGTTATAACATTGTAATGTACTGTATTTTTGCTAAGATTCTGGATGAGCTCTGTGTCAAAGGTCCTAATTCTTATACTTGGTTTTACTTTCTTTTTCTCTTTCAGAATGATTTACAATTTTCTTAGAGGGAACTTGTTGTCATTTCCCTCTTTTAAGACAAATTCATTGCCCGGAATGAGGCTGTTGGCTCAGCCAGTAATAAAATTAAGAAGTCCAGTGATTGTTTTCATCTTTATCTTACTACATAAAAAGGAAAGTGTATGAAATATCATAGTTTTAAAGGCAGTGGGGGATGCAAGTCAATTATTTATAGTCAGACTAACTGTGACAGAATTAAAGTTGGACCTTGTCTCTTTATTTTAGTATTGATTGTGCAGTATTGCTCCATTCTCAAACTAAAATGCTTACAGCTTGCTGGTAGTAGATTCCTTTTAGGACTTTCATCTGTTTGCTGTAGTATAAAACCTGGTGCAGTGTTTTTTCACTTAGACCACAGCAAAACTTTTGCAGTGTGTTAGTATGTTTCTTGTACAAAGAAAGCAGTGCCTTCATTAATTGTAGTTCCAGTCATGTTATGTCTGCATGCTCATGAAACATATTTGTTACTGGAAAATAAGAAGAATTGTTTAATGTTTTATTTTCAACACCCAAGGAAGTTGATAGATCTGGATGTTTTGTCTTTCTGCAATCCAAGGTTCAGATTGCCCGTGGAGTGTGTAAAAACCGACCGCGGTAAACTGTGTCATAATCTGTACCGATATATGTGGCCACTAATTAAAAAAGTGCAATTTGAGCAGCCAGATCCTGGAACTGAATTTAGCATGTGCTTGTAAATACGACTTTTGGACGTGTAATCTAAAAAGGTAATTAAATCAGTTGACAGCATTTTCTTCATATTTCTTTTCTCACTCCCTCTCGTTTGCCTGGTCTGTTTCCTGTAAACCTGAGGAATCAGAAACCACACACAACCCTGTGGTTTGCTGCCAGAATTGTTTGATGAAGTCACTGAGATTAGTTACTGCAGAAGATAGCCATTTGGTTTGTATTTTTACTGAAGGGGACTAGAAGGGGTCACAACGAGTAAAATATCGTTGCATGAACTGAAACGCAGTTTTTTAACCCTGTTTAGAAAATGCGGGGCTTTACCTAATGCAGGACATTATTTTGAAAGACCATAAAAATAGAGCAACAGAAAATGTAGCTCTGTTCATTTAAGCAGTAAAATGGGACAGCAGAAGAGCAGAGCGAGACCAAAGTTAATATGTGTGAGGCAGAGGCAGAAAGAGAGAAACGGGGGAACTGTGAGGAGACACAAGAAGATGGAAAACTGGAGGACGTCGGTGTGTTCCGACTGCGGATTCGGAAACCTGCTGTTTTATTGCTTCAGAAGCAGCAGGTCAGGTTAAAGGGGAAGAACCAGCCACAAC